TAATTTAAATATAATACTGTACAGACGATAGCAAACTCAATTTAGCTGCCTAAACTTTCCGTAGCGTGGCGCAGGGCGGAGGAAAGTAGTTCGGCTGCTCATCCACTATTGGTCCAGATTCTATCAATCTTGTCGCGACACGAGTCGGCGACGACGTTTTAGGAGTTCCTTTATACGAATATTGCTACAATTTTTTCGCTACATTATAGGAATTTCCGTTATAGGAACCCACGTTACAGGGGTCGACTGTATACCAGAATATTGGTTCTTGTTGCGCAATATACAGGATGGGTTTGGTAACTGTAAATATGCCCTACTATCTCAATTTATGACGCAGCTCACAGTTCTTCCACATTTCTCAGCCAGTGTCGAGAGAATATTTTCGCAAATTAACAACATTAAGACCAAACAAACTAATAGGTTAACTGTTGAATCGTCAAAGAACAGGTTGCTTGCTAAACAAGCAATCAGTAGGAAAAATCTTAGCTGTTCGCTGTATGAACCAGAACCTGAACTTATTAGAGTTGCAGTACCATGAGTTTGCCACCAAAGGTATAAGAAGCGACAAGAAGAGCATAAACATTGTGCGGAACTGTTAATGGAAGAAGAAACAGAGTAACTGAAATAACATTAACTACTGTGTAAATTAGGTAATAAATGTTTTTTTAATTTTCTTTCTACCTAAAACTTGTAAAAGAGAATTTTCTGTTCATTATAATAATCTCCCTGTTTATATTTGCACTGAGGCACAGAGCAATATCGAGTTTAATATAAAGTTTAAAAGATATTCACACGCGTTTTCTTCGATTCGTAGCCATATTGTTTACATTTCACTAACACTATAACTGTCACAAAATTCGGTGGCAGTCGTGGGATAGTATATACTCGACCCACTTTTAGTCTGAATTCTAACCGCATCGCTCCTAGTGAGCAATCTGCTCTGCTCCCCCAACCAGTTTATTTAGGAAAATTCTAACCCAGTGTTTCTCAACTTCTAACGAATCGTCGCCCCCTTCAACGTAGTATCGTCCCTTCAATAAAACCGTTACGTAGTATCGCCTCCTTCACTACAAAATTCCGATGCCGAGGGACAAGGCTAACGCCAAATTCGTACTGCATTGAATAGACTAGTGATTAGTATATTATTATTTGTTTAATTATTGTACGATGTAATGAATAAAATATCTAATTATTCTTAATATAATGTTTTACTATATCTCCCAGAAAATTGTTTTTCGCTGCCCAAAATATAAATTGTTGCTAATCGCCCCCTGAACATGGAAAAACGCCCACATGGGGCGATATCGCCCCCGTTCAGAAACACTGTTCTAACCTGTAATACCGCGATAGTGGTGACTGACGTCATCGATCATAGCCGATTATTCCGGCCGCGTTTTTAAACACGCTGGTTATTTTGTGATGTTCAACATGGCGGAAAGTCGAGAGATGATGATATGAATTCAGTCATTGCTCTCTAATATCGATTCAGAATCATATGACTATGATGATTCGAGAAATTCATCAAAAGATAAAACTTGTAGAATTTTTTAACAAGTATCTTAGAAAAATTTATCTTCGTTTAGTTTATACTACAAAATCAATAATTTCGTATTATTTGCTTGCTATTTTCCATGCTGTCTTCCTCATCTGAAATTTGGGACGACATGACTTTCTGAGATCTTGGTTGCTTTGTGTCGCGGAAATAAAATGTTGTTTTATTTTCTCTAATTTTTAAAATCACGGCCACATTCGTCACACGATACAATGTGTCCGCCATCTTGTAATTCAATAGAACCGCTGTAACGCCGTTTTGTACTTACTTCGATAAATACCGCAGGACAACCGGTGACGTCATAACAGTGATTTTTAAACGCGGTTGGTTATTTAGATCACATTTTCTAAACGCCTTGGTAACTACCGGCGTTTAGAAACGCTACTGGTATATCCGGACAGTCGAAAAATCCCCAGGAATTTTTCAGGGGGTGGTCTGGCCACCCCTCACCACCCGGCCGCACCCATTGTGGGCCTGACCGAACTCATAATGGGCTTGCTAAAAGAGACCCTTTTAGCGGCCAGAGGGCGAGAAGAGTTTTAAAAAAAGTTACCGGTAACACCGGTTACAATTTCCAAACACGCCCTCAGTAACCATGGTTATATTTAGCGACTTTATAAATTAATCATAAAAATTGAATAAGCCAGTTCTAGCATGTAATATTATTTAATCCCATATGTTATAATTAAATATTAGATTATTTCACGATGATTTAAAACTTTTATTTACACGTCCAATTGATACATATCGGTGTGTCGCTAGTAGTAAATAGAAGACCATGCTTGAAAATGTTGTATGGAACGTTGTCGTTTTTGTATAGAGAGTTCTTTTAGGCATTATCATAGCAACAGTAGCAACTAATGAAAATATTTCATTATCATTTCACTTTTACTATTCCTCTGTATTAATTCAAAGTTATTTTGACAAAATAATCCATGTTTGACTGGCGTCTAATTACAGAACGATTCCGTAGCCGTAGTTCTGTTTTTTACTACGAGATGTCGCTACTTCGTGACGTCAAGAAGATGGACAAGCATGATTCTGACTGTAGTGTATTAATTCTTTTAATCTCAAGATTTTCCTGCTGAATTTTCAATCTCTTACTCGAATTTTTTTTGTATTATTTAATAAAATTATTCATTGCTTTTTAGAAATACTGTAATTTAAACGTTTTATATTAGAAAATTTGCAATATTTTATTTCACAATCAACATTTATCTTTGAAATGTTCCACAAAACCGAACTCAATTTTCTCCATAGACATCCTTATTTGGTTTTCACGAGATTCTATAAAACCTAACCCTAGCAAATACCAAGAGTTAAGTGTATCTTGTGTAATTTGAGTAAAGTCTTTTGAATTGGTAGTTTAAATCCATCAACAAATTATCATCGTCAGTAAAATATTAGTGAACTTTTTGTAGCCTGATTTAACAGATCTGCAATGATTCATTTGAACGTTAGCTAAGAAAAATGCTACAGTATTCATAAGAAAGATGTATTCTTTATGAAAAAGATTTATTGAAAATTATGCATTTGCAACATTTTTATATGCACAATCTGTTATTGAATGTTTTCCTTTTGTAAGTACAGTAAATTTCTGAATTGAGCGTAGTCATGATCCCGTGTGCCAGAGCTGCACGAGTACGACGCAGTTAACTTTAGTTGGTTCTCAACTTATCTGTGGCTTTCCATTCGTAGAAATCTGTCAAATACAGTACGTAATATTTTTAATTACTACTGAATGAGTTGTTAATATTCATGAAAACAATTATTTTAAGATATATTAATTAAATACAGCATTTTTAAAATTTTAGAAGAGAATTTACTTACCCTTCATAGTTTTGAATTCCAGCTTCTCAATTTCACAGGCAAATCCATGTACTGTACAGGTACAGTACTTTCTCCAAATGTTCACGTAATCGAAGGAAAGTAGAAAATCCTTCAGAACATGAAGTCTCAAGACAGAATATAGACTTTTCCTCCACCAGGATTTGCTTATGTTCTAAACCAGTGGTTCCCAATTAGTTTTTCCTGCGTACCACTTCAAGAAAGAGCTCAAAGTCGCGTATCCCTTATAGCAGAAATTCATATTAATCCATACTATTATAAATTCGAAGCTAATTCTGTCAGTCTGTCCGTTACCTTTTCACGTCTAATCCGCTAAACAGGTTTTAATAAAATTTGGCACAGAAATAGCTTACATGTTAGAGATGGACATAGGCTACACTTTACTGCGAGAAAATATCTTATTCCCATGAGAAAATTCGATATAATGCGGGCGAAGCTGTGGGTAGTGATAGACAGCTAGTGATAAATAATATCACTAGCTGTCTATCACTACCCACATGACACAAATAAAATGAGTTTTTTTTTACATTTATTATCTTTAAAATACAATTGTAATAATAATGAAAATAACATAAGGTTAATTTTAATGTGACAAATGTGCACGATTTTCTTTGCACAACTTTGTAAAATCTGGTTGCTTTTTGGTCAGCTTCAGTCTCAAGTCATCTTCGAGTTGAAATCGGTGACGATGTTTAGTTTTCATGTTTGTCATGGCCGAAAATCCGCTCTCGCAGAGGTATGTTTTGCAAAATGGTAGTAAATATTTTATTGCCGCTTCGCTGACACGATGATAATGTTAATTGTGCACTTTTTGTTTCTTGCATAAAAATTTCATTTAGGTAGTCACAATGCATTTTTTTGATGAAATTTCGAAAATATTTTGTTATAAATAAACGAATTTGTGCATTCGACATCGTGTTATAAATTGTCGAATTTTTGGTGGTCCACCCATTATTTTTTTGATTGCTTCATCTCATGCATTTAAATTTTAAATCGACCGATTTTAGATTGCCGCGCGTATCCCTTCATAGAATTTTGCATACCCCCAGGGGTACGCATACCACTAATTGGGAACCATTGGTTTAGACTAGTGGCCCTGTATGGTAAGGGATTGGCATTCTTTATGACCAATTTGTATTGGTTAATGAACTCATGTCAATGAACTTCCTGTCTTGTTGGCAATTCCCTACTTGTGCTATATAATAGCAGCTGTTTGGATACTTAACTCTTTTAATCAAAAAATAAATAATAATGCCAAATTGCATAGCTTTTGGATACATAAATTCGGTGGATTCAGAAGAACCCAAAAGGACTAACAAAATTTAAAATATTTCAATAATGCTCAGGACATTTTGAGCACTTGTTATGATGTTCACAAACTTGATTTAATAAATTTTTTTGAAAAATCTTTTTCATATCAAAAATATAAAAAATTATCTGTTTAATAAAGAAATTGTGATTAATTAATAAGCAAATTTATTTACTGATACATTACATTTGGGCTCAACCAAACTTTTTTTACAATGGGCCACATAACAGAGAATGACGAGTGCGGGCTGCATAACCATTTTGTTCAATACATCAAATACATAAAAAATAGACAACCAACATATTTATTTACCAATAAAAACACGATCACTGCAGCAAGCTCGTAATCACTTTCCTTAGAAACTTCATTGCTGGTACAGTACTTACACAAAAAGTATTCTGATATCCAGAGTCATAAAAAGTCCCGAATTGTTTATTTCACTGATTTTCCTGAAAATTATATTACTGTCAGATGCAAAAATCATATTGGACCAATTTTGGCAATTTTACTTACACTTATTATGTAGGAAATATTAAAATAAGTTTATCTACAATCCATGATATTTCTATATAAATAATTACCTTTTAGCTTATTTGTGGTATAGTGTGACAGTGGGCCAGATGAACTGACCTTGCATACTAGATCCAGCCTGTGGGCCGTAATTTGGTGATCCCAGAATTCCACAATCAGTCAGATCAAAAAGTGACCCCTAAACTTTTTTATTCAGTTTTTTCTCCCTCTATAAGCCTGCAACATTTGGCCAAGCATTCTGAAACATCCTATATATAGAATTCATACTATAATTATCATTAATTTATAAATTTTTTTCATTACTTCTCATGCATTCAACATTTGGCAATATCTATCTTAATCTATTGATTTTTTTTTGATTATTTTGAAACAAATCTGTAGATTGACAATTAACTACCATAATAATAAAACATTTTGCTTGTATGTTTCTATAATTTTACTAATTTATTGAAAGTGAATATATTTTATTAAGATTTAAAAATTTTTTAAAGAAATTAACTATAGTATATTACTGATTATATATCAGTAATTTAAGAAAAAACATTAAATAGAAATTTACTTGATTCATTTTTTAAAATAAAAGATTTAACTCGAATACATCATAGAAGTTATTTTTTATTTCTCAAAAAAAGTTTGAAAAACTTGTCACAAGAATATAATCATCACCACAGCCATTTATAGCTACAACTTTTAAATAAATAAATTATTACAAATATATATTTGTATATTATACATTAACAAAAAGACCGAACAAAATATTAAAATTATACACATCTATAATAAAAAATAAAAAAAATCACAGCATTTAATAAATAAAAGTTAAAAATGAGTACATGTTTCAAATGTACAATAAAATACTTTTAATTGCACAATTCCATATCTTTGGTTATATATTTGTTTCCCTCTTTAAATAACAGTCGTATAATAACAAATGTAAATTGAGTATTAGATATTTTCAATAGTTTTAAGAAAAAACATTCATATTCTTTTCAGAAAGACAAAGTGGTGTCCTCACATAATAAATATTTTATATGACTACCAAAATACAAGATAGGAACGGTAGAGACATGTAGCTAAAATTTTTAAATATTAATTACCCGTTGAACTTTTAAATTCTTCTCCAGAGTGATAAAAAGATTTCCATTTAAAAAATAAGTAGAAATAAAAAATGAAAAGGAATCAGCACAATAAATGAGTCATAAGACTGGGGGGAAAAATAGAGCTTATTCCATAAAACTGGATACTTTAGCTGATAACAATATTTAACTTTGCATTTACATATACACATATACTGTGCAAATTCTTAAAATTAACTTAATATTTACAGAAGAGCCACATTATAATATATATATATATATATTTATTTATATATATATATATGTGTGTTTCTGCCCTATTAATTTACATTCTACAATAGCAGCTATAAATAACACTTCACAGTGTTTTCACTCTCTATAACTTACATTAACAATAAATCACAGCAATGCCACAGAATTGACTACACCAAGCAAACAATTGAAAGCCTGGAACTATTTATCAGATTGATGTGTATAAATTTCATTGTGATGACTTTACCAAAATTCTCTAAGTGTTTTGTATTGATATTTTTTTTAAAGTATAAATTGGTAGTTTGTAACCTAAATCATTACAATTGCACTAGCAAGTGCTTAAAATATTCACAAATGATGCCAAGTAACACATTCATTTTGGCAATTTTTTTTTTAGTAAATAATACTGTAGTAATCAAATATTTGATGCATTGATTTATTGATATCTTGGCATTTGCCAATATTTTTCATAAAATAACTTATGTTACTATATTAAATATAGATTTAATAAATAATATCAAGTTTTATGCTTAACTAAACTGTGCTATTGCAATGAATCAAAGTTTTATCTGATAGTTCTTAATTTGATGCAGATGACTTCTTAGGTAGGACACAACACTAAAAACAAGTAGGTTTTTAATTTATTGTATTGAGTAAATTGAAAAATAATTTTCATTAAATAATACATACCTTTCAAAATATAATCTGTTAGCAATGTGGGAACAGTAGGACTATCATCACTGATAGCTTGCAAAACTATAAATGATTTATTTTTTTATTAATATTAAAAAATATATTTATAGTAGTAGTAGTAGTAGTAGTATAATAATTTTATTATTATTGAACAATTCAGCTAATGTCTATTTTTACTTCATCAAATTATATTAATTTGCTGATAATTATTTTTACTTCATGCCATTAAAATTTAAGAACAAAGTTTCTTCTCTCTCAATGCATTCCTTATTTTGAGAATGATATTCAGGTCATCCTTAAGGAAGCACACATCTTACATCCAGCTTGGGTGATGGCCCATTTTAAACATCTTGAAATCTAGAGATTTACAAAGCAACTAGAAGAGCAACTATCATCAATTATAAAGATACAAACAATTTAGCTGACTGGAAGTCTTTTTTTTTGGGTATACTAATGGATGCCACATCTTCCCCACCTTTACACAGACACAGATTTATTTGTTTTGATACATATATTCCCTCTGTAATGCATGTGGTTGTAATTAAAAAATTTTATATTCTAATTACTGGCTGTTGATTGTATTTAAAACTTGAAGATGACCAATAAAACAATAAACAATAAAACAGTCAAAAATGTTAGTTTAGTTATTAAAACATTTTTGCTGCTGGATATTCTAGATTTTTAACATGTTTGTTTGTTTACACATCCAGATTTAAGAGTTGTATATAATTTTACGTATAATATCTACTAATATCAAATTTTAAATTAATACCATGAATTGCAAGCAACTCTATAGATACAGTGGTACCTCAGGATACAAAATTAATCCGTTCCGACACTGAGATCTTATCATGAAAATGTCATAAGGTGAATCATTTTTCCCCATACGATTACATGTAAAACCAAATAATTCATTCCAACACGAAAAACATACTCAAATTAAAGCTAAGTAATACATAAAAAAAAAATAACAATAATAATAACTATAGTAAGGAAAACACTGAAAAAAATGCGTTTTGTAGTTGTAAATGTATAAATAATCGTATTAGAATAATAATTGATAAAAAAAATGTAGTTTTATTTGCACTTTACCTTTGAGGATAGACAACGGTCGAGGTGTAAACTGGTGGCAGAAGAGAGGGAGAAGGTAAATGCTACTAAAACTTAACTTACATAACATAATGTAATGATAACTTAAAAATAACTTAGAAAAGATTTTAAAAAATTAGTGTTGCTTTATATATATATATATTTTTTTTAAATTTTCATTCACTGCTTTTTGGAGAAGGTAAATGCTACTAAAACTTAACTTACATAACATAATGTAACGATAACTTAAAAATAACTTAGAAAAGATAAAAAAAAATTAGTGTTGCTTTATATATATATACAGTTTACACCTCCACCATCATCTATCCTCAAAGGTAAAATGCAAATAAAATTACATTTTTTTAATCAATTATTATTCTATTATGGTTATTTATACATTTACAACTACAAAACATATTTTTCGGTGTTTTCCTTACTATAGTTACTTTTTTTTAATGTACTATGTAGCTTTAATTTGAGTGTGTTTTTCATGTTGGAATGAATTATTTGGTTTTACATGTAATCGTATGGGGAAAAATGATTCACCTTACGACATTTTCGTGATACAATCTCAGTTTCGGAATGGGTTAATTTCGTATCCTGAGGTAGCACTGTATGTTTTTGTTTCTAATATTTCTGTATCATTATTAATACAGCAGGATAACAGATTTTTCCTCTGTCAGAAATTAATCTTTCTTCAGCAAAAATTTTTGTCTGGGATTATTTCTATACACAGTGTGGAAAAAAGCTTTAAAAAACTATATATTGTAAATTAGAATGATTTTTTTAACATTAATTTATTAAAAATGTACACCAAATAAACATTAATGTAAATGTATTAGAAGTAAATGTGTAATTTATCATATGATTAATTAAGCTTTGGTGATTTCATATTCATAGTNGTGTATTATGATGTCACCGCATGGGAGGAGCTTTCCGATTGGTCCAAGGTGGGACACGTGGTAAAGCGGACTTCCGGAGAGCGGGAGATATAAAACGTGTGAACTCCCGTTATAGGATTATTCTGGTCTCTGTACCCGTTGAGGAGAGTGGTCGTTATACTGGTAAAATAAACCTTTTCTTTGTTTCCGAGCACGTGTTGGTCATTTACTGTGTCCTTTGTTTTATTGCCCCGTGGATTCCTATCTACGGCATACTCTACATATGTTCGAATTTCATGTCGTATCCTGAAAATTTCGTATGCTGGGGCATTCGTATCCTGAGGTACCACTGTAATAGGTTATTAGACATTCTTGATATTAAACATTTTATTGTATGTAAACGTCTCTTTAATCCAAAACTTGTTTGGTAGACTATCTCACAGCATTTCGGTTAGAAACATCCTTATTTTAAAAATTGGATTTCAAATGCATTTCGGGTTAGTTTACATTCCCAACCCCTCTTTAGTGCTGTACGAAAAAAACAATAATATAATTAGGGCACAACATTATCTATATATTGTGGAAAGAGAAATTTTTACATGACTTAACCGTTTACATACCATACAAAGGAATAAATTTTCTTTATGTATGTTTATGGATGATATAATTGTGATAAAGAAAATTTATTCCTTTGTATGGTATGTAAACAGTTAAGTCATGTAAAAATTTCTCTTTCCACAATATATAGATAATGTTGTGCCCTAATTATATTATTGTTTTTTCGTACAGCACTGAAGAAGGTGGGAATGTAAACCAACCCGAAATGCATTTGAAATCCAATTTTTAAAATAAAGATGTTTCTAACCGAAATGCCGTGAGATAGTCTACCGAACAAGTTTTGGATTAAAGAGACGTTTACATACAAGAATCAATAGACAGCAACCATATTACAGTGTATTAAACATTATGTTTTAATGGATTCATATTGTAATTAATAGAATGATAGATTATAGATAAAAAAATCACTTTATTATTTAGAAAACAGATTATACATGGCAAGTCAAAAATCCCTTGCACTCCTTTCATTCCAAAATAATGAAGATATATTAATTTTGTAAATGTAGTTACATAGGAAGTAATACGAGATCTGTTCAAAAAGTATCGAACTTTTATTTTTTCCGCGTAAACCAATGATGCGCGGGAGGCCTCTTTCGGTGGAGTTGTGGAGGAGACAGTCATGCACAGCCTTGAATTTTTTCCCGCCTGCAGGAAGCGTCAGTTGTTGGCAGTTGGCCTACGAGTGAGGTCATGTAGCGAGCTCTCATCGGATTCCACTAAGTTGGAAAATGACTGAACAACGTGAGCAGTGATATTATATCAAATTTTGCCAAAAACCTTGGTGATACCCGAGCGTAAACCATTCGCAAGATTCAGCAGGCTTTTGGGGACGATCCTCGAGGTCAAAAAAAGCGCAACAGGCCCGCAGCAATATCAAGGTCATGTTGACAGTTTTTTCGACTCTCGTGGGGTGGTGTGTCGTGAGTACGCACCACAAGGCCAAACCATCGCAAAAGAGTACTACCAGGAGGTCCTTCGTCATCTTTCCGATGCTGTGCGATGCAAACAACCGGATCTGTGGTCGATCAAAACTTGGCAGCTCCATCATGATAACGCATCCGCCCATTCTGCGCATCTGATTCGGGCTTTCGTCGCCAAACACAACACTCCTGCGGTTCGTCACGCTCCGTACTCTCCCCACATGGCTCCGTGTGACTTTTGGCTATTTCCCAAGCTGAAAATGCCGCTAAAAGGAACCCGATTTTAGTCGAGAGAAGACATCATGCGGAATGCGATGGACTGGCTGATTGCCATTCCAAAAGATGCATTCCAGCAGTGTTTCCAGCAATGGCAGGAACGCTGGGAGAAGTGTATACACTACCAAGGAGACTACTTTGAAGGGGATTAGGGTTTTGTACCTCAAAATCAATAAATTTATTTTTTCCGACCAAAGGTCCAATACTTTTTGAACAGACCTCGTATATGGAGAATTGAATGGGACCTTTTTAGATCTGGAAAATTATTTTCAAGATCAACCAAAAAAGGTTTCAAATTATTTTATCTGATGTAAAAGAAATTTGCATTAAACAAATTTATTTTAATCATCATCTTTAAATGTAGTGAATGTTAATTTATCATCATAAAAAATTAAGTTTAAAAAAAAATCTTTAGTTTATATTAGTTTGTTAAACGCACTTACTTTTAATAAGAATCTGAAGAGTTCCATTATCAGGCAATCCTTGTTCAGCATCATATGGAATGACTGTATTTAAATACTGCAAGAATAAACCAATGATTTTTTACAAAATTTACTTTTTTAATTGTACAAATAAAATAAAGTTCAAAAATAAAACACAAGATTTTCAATTAAATAATAAAATTTCCAATTAAATAAGACCAAATTTATATGATTGCTGGAAACAATTTTACAGTTTACTTTCTTTCTAATTTTCTAAAAAAAATGAAAAATGGCATTGTGTGTGGATTTGATTATGTTACATTCCCACTAAGTGAAACTTTGTTAGCTCAAAATCTCTACTGATTCCTGCAAACAGTATACAGGGTTTCCAAGTAATATAATCTTGTGAAGTTAAATTCTTGATACTTTTAACTCATATCTGTTTTCCCTGTACTCTCCTCTTTGATCAGTCTGTGATCTTCACTTTCTCATATATTCCACATGAATACAGACAATTAGGATAAACAAACATTATGGCTGCATACTGAACACAGCAAACCTTGCATTAACATCCTTTTACTGATTCAGTATGTTAATGACATTCTGGTTGGAAACAAGTGGTGCCTTGATAATGCACTAAAAAGCACCATAAACTGTGTACAATTCTGTAATTATTCTATGAACAGATTTATGAGAAATGGGAAATTTACGGCCATAGAAAAATTTGAGAAAATTGGGTATTAAACTTGTTAACTTGAAACTTTAAATCAAAGTTAGGATTTTTCTACCTTTTACACTTCAACTTAATGAGGTTTTTACTGTATTTCCTCCCTACAGATTTGCAAAGCCAATTAAATTGCTGATATATTTAATATTCAATACAGATATATAAGCACAACCAGCTATTCTGTATTTGGGTACTATTACATTATGTATAGTGCGTGCCTTCAAAAATCATGGCATAATGTTTTCCATTAAACTGCAACTGTCCCCCGTGCAGAATGTTATGCAATGATAGAGATTGTTAGTCATTATTAGAAAAATCGGGTATACTTGATTCCTTTACAAGCTTAAACCAGGACCAAAGATCTTTTACATAGGGGCCATATCTGAAAAATTAGCAAACTATCTTCAGGAACATCAAAATGATATCAATAATTGCAGAGCCACTACTGATCTTGCCAAAATTGTCTTACAAAATAATTATATACCATTATGGGCCAACCTTAAACTAATAAAACCATGTTTAGATCATGGAATCCTTTACTTATGGGAGTCTTTGTGTATAAGAACATACAAAGCTTGTAATAAACCATCTCTTGACCTTGGAGAAGTTTGAATCAGCCTGTAGAAAGCTTTAACATGTTAATTCTCATATATATTATATATTTATATTTCTCTTTCTTCATATTTTCTGTGATGTTGATATGTGTATGTTTTATTGTTTCTTATCTGATGTTATAGCAACTTATGGATGATCTATACGACATGTGTTCTTTATATTTTTTACCTTTTCTTAATAGTTTAATTTTTACACACTTCTGAAATATATTTTATACTTGTTTGAAAATGTTGACATATTGTAAATGTTTAAAAAAATGTTTAATATGCTATTAATCATTCTATTAGAATGTTATAATGTATTCATACTTTATTGTTTGTTACCTGAAGAAAACAATTTTGAATTTGTTGAAAGCACTTGTTATTCTTAATTTTAGATTAAAAGCTTATTTAATACTAACAGACAGTAAAAATTTCACAATTATTATTCAATACAGAGTTTTTTTTAATTGTTTCTCAAAAGTAATATTTTTCTTAGAAATTTTTAAATACAAAAATCAATCAGAGATTGTTAACATTCAAATTAACACTTATAGATGATTTCATGTTTTAATAAAATTGGATAATAAACATTATTACTGTATTATTTTCACTAAAGTGCTTCATTGCTTTTTTATTGCCTAAGAAAGCTTTTCATTGCAGCAAACCAAATTTATAACAAGCATAAAATCTTTCTACACTCTTCAATACAATATAACTACAACACCATAGAAAAAAAAGCAGAGTTATGAAATTCACAGGAAAGATAAATGTGCAAATGCAGCAATTAATATAATATACAACAGAAATAATTACAATTATTCTATCAATATACATAAATTTAAATAAATAAATAAATATATATATATACTTAAATTTCTAGTGAATATTCTACATAGACGTATATAATGGCGACAATAAAAGCTATAGGTNAAGTATGGCAAAGCAGTCATGGGTCATTCCTAAATCAAACTGATAAAAATTGTACTTCATTTTTAATTGCAGCTGACAAAAATTGGATACTCATATTTGTTACTCATATATGATGTCTGTGCACATATTTTAGCAAGAGCAATTTGACTTTGAGTGAAATGGCAAACAAACAGTAATTTGAAATTTTTTCTTTAAAGCACATTCTGAGTTTTAAACAAATTAGTCTATAAATACAATAAAATTTGTATCGACTTCATCTTTAATTATACATATATATATTTATTTATTTTTATTTTAGGACTATATATTATTCCTGTATTAAAGGATAAAATCATTAAAATGAATGAAAAAATAATTGTATAAATATTTATTTAATACATAAATATACTTTACATAACTACTATTTTCCAAAGTATTTAAATAATGTTGTTTGAACAGAATTAACATTTTTCATTTCATCATACAATTTGTGATAAGTGCCACTTGCTTCCATATATGTTTCTGCACTTCTTTCCATATTAGGATCTGTGTCAAAGAAAACTTTCTTAGTATGTACAATGTGATCAAAAACCAGCTGATGTTTTCTTGCAGTTAATCCTTAAGTTGTAACATTCTATTCTATTTTGCACTCCTGCAATGCTCATATATATCAAAGTGGCATTGTTACAACCTCTTATGGCTTCCATGAATTTAAATTGCTTGGTTTTCTTCAAATTAAAAGAAAAAATTTCAATTTCAGCTACCATAAAAAATCACATTAACTGATTAATTATGTTAATGTACTGTCGTTTTTAAGTGCATAAAGTCTTTGTGATTGGTAATGACCTACATCTTTCATATCATATTGTGCACATAGTTATTTTCAAGTAATTTGCAGATTTATCATGGAATTTGAAATTCTAAACCCTCCATTATCCTGCTAAATTGGAAATTTACTATACCATACTTGATACCTCCTCACATCATGCTTAGTGTTGAGCTACTATGCATTCCTTGAGGAGGATCTCAGCATGGTGGTGCTGTCATCTCCAAACCATTCTCTGACAATTGTTCTGACCTAAGTAGATGCAGGATTCATCAGTGAACAAAACAGGTCTCTACACAAGTGTCTGGGTGTTGTCAAGTCCTGCACTAAGAGAAGCTTTGGATCCAGTGTCACAAGATTAATTACCTGTTTTTAGCAGATTGCCAAGCTCACATGTCAGCCTCACAAAAACATCTCCTAGCTGATTACATGGACACAATTCCAATTCCACCATCTGTATGCTGTGATTGAGTTCTAAACTTATTCACAGTAGCAAAGGAGTTGCATGCTTCCATACTCCTGATTTATCAATTCATATACTCTGAAATTACTCTTGTTTTCATGCATAACTCCCTCTTCAGCATATCCTTATGATATACAGCATTGCACTATGTTGACATTATGGCCGAAATGATTGTCATTGTCATGCAGTGACAATACAACTTTTTTCAATTTGATAAACTTATTCCATTTAGTGGTGGTCAAATAGTAGAATACTTCACATTATCATATTCTAGACTACTGTATCTTCTGCAATTACTTATGTCTCATGAGACAACAGTCTATTGTGTGATGTGGCCATTTATATGCCTCTTCAGCTGTTACTCATGTCACCAATCATTGCAAAACTTTGATCATTTGAAAATTTCAGATATATCTATTGTTCCTGTGTATTCTATGAATTTTATTCTTTAAATTTCTATTATTATAAAGAAATATATAAAACAACTAAATTAATACTTTTAATAGAAATAAACACAAAGCAACATTTTATTTTTTAAAAGTTTTATAAACTTTAATTAAAAATGTTTCCAAAGTAGGCTTCAACACAGTTCAAAAACAGTTTTTAAATTAAAAGTTTTTTATTTCTAAAAATAAATGTTTCTTTGAGTTTCCTTTTTTATTAAAATCAGTAAAATGAAGTTAAAAAGAAGTTCCATCAAATATTAGATCAGATATGAAAAGAATATATAAAAAACATTTTTTTAATTATATATCCTTCTCATATCAGAGAGAGTATCTCAAAAGCAGCATTGTCCCTCAGAGTTAAAGTATGATTTTTCATTATTTTATTATCAACTTTATATCATTATTATTTTTAACTTTTGCATTTGTGTATCAAATATACAGACAGTTACATTGCATAAGTGAACAGCATTCTTATTATTTTTAAGATTAATGAGGTAACACTAAGTTTTCTTTAAATTTTTTATTATATTGTGGCGATCGTTCGCCATATTGTGCCTATATCAGACAATGGCCTTTGTTTAAGGTAAGCCAAACCGGTACACCGTCCGTTTGACCCGAAGGGGGCAATTAGCCCAGCAGGGGGAGAGAGGTGAGTATAAATAGGGAACAGGAGCGGCGAAAAAGGAGAGACGAAGAAAGGACAGACTCGAGAGTGGATCGACGGAAGTACGAGGTATAGAGAAAACAAAGGAACGAGGACTGATCGGGACAACGAGAACAAGGGGAGAAAGAAACTCGTTGAAGACTTCGATCGTAGTAACTTTTGTACGGTATCTGTATTTCATGTCTTGATTGTAATTCACGTGTGTCCGCGACTCAATTTTTGTAAGAAACGGATAGAATTATCGGGAAGTTATTGTATTACTTATTGATCCTTATGTTACTTAATTTCTGTATATTGAAATTAAATCTTACAATATATTCTTTTCTTGCAATGTATAATTTTTATCATAACTACTGAAGGAAATGTAATAACATTCCATTTATGCAGAAAGACTGAAAAAAGTAAGCTGCACAATAATCTGCAAAGATTCAAAAAGGATATATAGGGTTCTATAAATCCTTCTAATATCCAGTGTTACAAATAAACTAATAACAAAAGTGATCATTAATCATTCAATTATTGATTTAAATATCTAATGAACATGTGATGATAATTAAGAATCATACTGCATAGTTGATCATTCCATAATATCTAACTCCTGTACAAAAATAATGAACATCATATGACAAAATTTATATAAATTAAAAAGGAAATTACTAGAAGTTCTCTCTTCTTCATTGATATTAGTTACAATTTCATTATTCTAAAATTAATGAAATTATGATATAAAAAGTATAATACTTAAAATGAGTATTTGAGAAAATAAAAAAGAATTCTCTAAAGATTACCTTTGGTTCACCACTACAAACTTGACGTCCTCGTTTTTTATCAATATTATACTGGCGTCGCCTATTTTGAATACTAAGTAGAAGAGATATGAAAGTGTTTTTAAGTTCTTTTTCAAATTCTAATTCATCACGTAAAGCAAGTTGTTGTATTAATATTTCAGAATGTTCTTGAATCATCTGCTCCAAATCAGTCAAAATTTCATTTAATTCTTGCAGATTGAGTGCATTCAATTCTGAAAGTATACAATTTTTGATAATTTTCTGATTTATAATTTATTGAAATTTACAAAATTTTTCATATAAAATCTCTATAGCAAAACATTAATCACTGCTAATTAATTTACTTATATAAAATTAAAATGAAATTGGTGGTTTTCTTATAATATATTATTACTAACCTAAGCACCCAGCATTACTCAGAGTAATGCTGTATTTGGACAACTTTTTTTTTTTTTTTTTGGCTAGAAAATGCCATGTAATTTACAATATTTCTAGGTATATCCACTGATAATACAGAAAAGCTTGTTGGATGGTTTCAACACTATACAGTTTGTGAATGATCTCCCATAGACATTTCAAAAATTTACATGTAATACAATTAAAATCCAAATTGTTAGCCAAACAATCAAACCGCTAGATTATTTTACAGGCTATATTGCCAAAAGTATTGATCCAGAGCAAAGATTCCTGTTTTGTCATTCTTTCTTCCAGAATTTTATAAATTATTTAATTAAATTCAAAATTAATTTCTAAGTATTAATCTACATAAGAATGAGGCTTTAATTAATTAAATATGATCTGAAAAATAATCTACAAATTTAGATTTAAGTTTGGTTCAAGACAATGAACAAGCAGTAAATTTATTGGAATGGAATCAGAATCAGAACCAGAAGATCAGATGGATTAATCCATGATTATTTCTGGCATGACAGAAATATACTTTCTTTTTGTTTAATTTTTTGTAAAAATATGTTGATTTATTATGGAATAAGGAAAAAATATAATGAAAATTTGTGTAGGGTGTGAATCCATGTCTTTTACATTACTCCAAGATGCTATAAACTGCACCATTCAGAAACTACAGATGAACCAAAGTAGTCAGCAAATATAGTTAATTCATTACCTAATTAATTTTAGGTCACTAACTGCATAAAACAAAAATTAAAACAATTAACTGATAAATTCATTTGTAAAGCAGATCATCTAGTGATCAATAACCGAACAATCTGTGGAAATAGCTAACGCTACTTTCAGTATGACATGAAAAATATATTCACTTTATTTATTTATTGTTTTGCTGCAATTTTTGTAAAAACAAAATTGATTTACTGATGATTTTATAATTTCTCTGAACTGAATAAAATTATGATAACCAATAATAACCATTTTTATTCCTTCAGAGTTTGTTATTAAAATTTAATTAATTTAAATAACCCTTAAGCCCCAAGCCCGAGATATCTCGGGCAAGTTACATAGCGTTACGAAAAACTCGGTCGTTAAGGCCACTTTTGAAATTTTTTAAAATTTTTGGAATGTTTTTTAGGTCTCCAAATTTTTTCAAAAATTTTTACCTGCACGAAAAAATTTTATCGCGATTTTAATCAATTATTAAATTATTAATCAATTAATTCAAATATTAATAAAAAAGGACGCGCGATTAACGCTTAATTGTTTTTTAATGGGATTTTTTAAAATCAAATTTAATTAATCGTTCTAAAGTTGTAGTGCACAGATTTTACTTCGGTAAAGTTATTTAAAGCTACTTTCTGATATCAAAAACAACCTCCAATAGTTTTTTAATTTTTTTAATTAATAGATTTTATTATATATAAGTTTAATTAAGTCAGGGGGGTCAGAAATAACAATAAAAATTTTAATTTTTTAAAAATATTTAAAAATATACGGCCAACTAGTATTCACCCTACTATAAACCCATTGCCTCCCGAGACTTCTATGAGAATGTTCCGGGAAATCAGACTCCAGCTGTTCTCAAGGTCATCCAGCTATGTAAACAATGACTCATCAGTGTCAAATTTCACAGAAAGGCAAGACAAAGGAAAATAAAATTTGAAGCTTTTTCTTCAAAATTAATGCATTTCTTTCGTTTTTTTCAGTTTTAAGTATTTTTTATGTTTAATTACATTAATATCAAAAATTGCTCAAGGCTTAAGGAGTTAATAAATGGAAGATAATATTAGATAGCTATCAATGGAAATTGATAGCTATTTAATATAGGCTACTGTGTTTATAATATTCTGAACACAGTGTATTAGATCACAAATAAAAAATATTTTGTACCATCATCACAGTTTTTTCATATAAGATATTCATATCAATTAAAATTTGTCTGAATTGATTTGTTTAATGTTAAATTTCATATCTACTTTAATGCTTTTTCAAAAGTAAATATTTTAAAATTAAAAAAAAAATGAAATTGACTTTAGAATTAGTTTAGCTTTAGGAAAAATGTTATAAAATATTCCTGTTTAAAATAAAAATTTGTTGAGTTTTTCATTAAATTTTGAAAAAAAAAACTATACTAGTTATTTTAGAAACCCATAATTCATTAAGTAATTTAAATTCAATTTTTAAATTTTTATGATTAAATATTTACACTTAATGTTGAGCCAGAACCATAGCTGTGGAAGCTATAAAGTAGCAAAGACACTCAGCTTAGTTGGCTCTGTCCATATGCAGTATACAGTGTATGCTTTTACTTTCTTCATATACATTTTATGTTGTATTACAAAATGTATTAAAATTGACCTTTTAATACAATTATAACTAGTACTTTACAAATAAACTAAGTTAACTTACATGAACTGAATTATCATTTGTTACTCAAAATTTCTATTATGTATTTTAGCAATTTAGTGAATTAGGATTTATTTAATTTTTTCACTTTTGGTGAATAATTTTTCAAGAATGAAATCCTTTCAAGTGTTTATGAGATATAACAATAAATAAGCTAAGGGTGTTTTCAGACTAGCAACAAAATTAGATGCTGTCAAATTCTACTGTTGCTTGTGTTTTCAGCTTTGTAAGTCGACTTGCCAGAACTACCAGTCCTCATGTGCTTGCTTGTCTGAATAGATTTAGCTGGAGTTCTGTGATTTCTCAAAATATTTCCAGTTTATTTTAATATTTGGCAAGTTAAACAGTGAAGAAAAAATTTAATATCTCTGTAAGAAGAAAACACATTATTGTGAGATGTGCATTCTACAAGTTACAGAAATCAAAATAAAAACAAGAAATATTAAAATTAATTGCAACAAAAATTAATACTGATAGCAACAAAATTTTTAACCTAAGGAGCCAATTTATGCAAAAAGTGAAGAAAATTAAAATAAAAAAAAGAATACTGATATAGATGAAGTTTTTATATCTATTTGGCTATATTTTTCTGCTATATTTATATTTAATATATGCTTTTGGCTATATATTTTTCAAATATATGAGTAAGTTTTTAAACTGTTGTGACACTAAGTTTTAGTTCATTGAGCATGTTATTAAGCCTATAAGCCCTTATAATCTTTCCTTCTTAATATCCATTCCTTACCCAACATGCTCAGTTTCTCTTCTTTATTTTTTATTGTAATTGCTGTTTATAATTAAAAATGTTGTTGCAATATGAACATGTTTTACCAGTGCAATGTCAAGTAATGTAATGAAAAGGACTCAACATTTGACAAATAATACAGGGTGTCCCACTCAGGGCTGGCCCTTTATAACTGTGAATAACCTGCAACAAATGTATTCAACAACATAAAATAATGCTCAAAATAATAATGAACATTTTGAGTTCATTATTTCATACAAAATTGATTGCATGCCTTAAAGAGGAGCAAGGGCAGCCTTTTCTTGCATCATTGGTCCAATTTTCTTTAAAGATACTGTGAATAACAAGTGATATTTGTCCATATTCAATGAATTTGTGAACCAACTGGATAATTATGAACTTCAGGAAGATTATTTATAACAGGACAAGGCAATGTGCCAGGATGAAAGAGATCCAGTTTTTTTTGGAGATAGTCATCTTGATAGGTTTGTGGCCATCACAAATGCCTGATTTAAGTCTGCCAGATTTCTTTCTATGGGGACATTTGAAAAGCAAGGATTATGCAAGCAAACCCAGGACTATCAGACAACTGAAAGAAGATATCCAGCATGAAATTGCTACCATTGACAGTAATATATTGGAGAAAACATTTGCAAACATCGTGCTGCATTGTGTGTGGCGTCATTGAGGGAGGACACTTTCAATACCTTTTGTAATGTGGATCTGTTTGACATTAAATAAGATATGTTTAACTTTTTATAGCATACCTTTTGTTTACACGTTCCAGAGATATTCATAATTTCAAAGGGTCATCTCTGAGTGGGACACCTTGTACTATCACAAAGTCTAAGTTGCAAGAACTGTTTATACTCAGAGATTGTAAACAGTTTTGCAAGAACTCAGGAGGCAGAATTGGTGCAGCACTTCTAAAATATAATTGACAATTATAGCTAGTAGTGTAAACTCATATGGCAGTCGCTTGCATAGCAGTCACATTTGTCTCAAGTAACTCACCAGGCTATCTGCATCCTCATAATTAGCTTATTGCAAAAACCAAAGAATTAAATCTGTAATATGTATGATATTCAATATCTGAAATTAATCATTTTTAAAATGATACATACTTTCTTTGCATAATCCAGTTATAATGGTACTTCTAATTTTATTTTCTTCTGGAGATTTCTCAGGAGAAAGACAAGTCAAACCTCCTGAAGGTGATTCTTGCTATAAAATAATAAATACTTTAATTGTTTATGTGTGTCTGTATATACATTAAACAAAAACACATTATTACATATATATATTTACTGTAATTTTTAAAATGCAATAGTAATATAAATAAAAGTAGTAAATCAATTCAAAATTGAATCTGAAATTTATCTCATAAATACCAAATATATTCACAATGAAAACTAAATAAAAAACTCTGATAAAAATAAAGAGAAATTTGTTGAAGGTAATGGAGCAAGGTGGCTATTAGTCTACTTTTAACATCATACAGTACTGTGTTATATTTGATTTAATTTGTTTATTTTCTGGTTTAATTTATTCTGATTTTACTTTATTTTATTTTTTTAATCAATTTTTGAATAATCATAACTTTCACTGTAATTTTATATTTGAAAAAGTTCAAGCATAGAGATGATCTCTCTTTAGAATATATTTGTTTTTAATGCACTTGATAATTTAGTTAATGTTACCTATGGTTCCAAGATGGTGGTGCTTCCTGTAATCTCGAATCGGTGAGTTGTGCGGTAATAAAGATAGAGTGAGCTGACTAATAATGTAGTGACAAAATATGAAAATATGATAAATATGATGTATTAAGAGATTGCAAAGTAATATTAGAAAGTACTCAACAAACCACAAAACATAACATACAAATAACATCTTATCCTTGCCGAGAAAATATTTATTTCATAAAAACAAACATTTTAAGCCTGATTCACAGGCCATCATCAGGTTGTGAATGAAATTAAACTAAAGTATTCCAAAATAGAATAAAAATTCAAAAAATTAAATAACTAACAGAATAACATAAAATAAAATAAATTAAAATAAAACAAAAATTAATCATGTGAAAAATATAAAATAAGAATATAAGATTGTTTACTAACAATATCTCTAATAAAATTAAAATTACTAATTTAATTAGTTGGAGTTCTTAGTAAATTTTTTAATCATAAACTTCCATGCAGAGGGAAGACTTTCTGCATCCCTCGCATTCAAACATCCTTCATGTNTCTCATCTTTTTAAATATGGTGCCAAGTTCAAGTATTATTTTTATTGATGATATTTTTAATTGAAACTTAAACTTTTTTATTTAATTTTTTCTGATATGTTTCTAAAAAGAACCATACTATGAAATTTCACTAAAACATCAGTCATGATTATATATTTAATTAATTTATATAAGTTATAACTTGGAATGCTTTAGTTCTAATTTCATTCACAACCTGTTGATGGCCTGTGAATCAGGCTGAAAACATTTGTTTTTATGAAATAAATATTTTCTCGGCAAGGATAAGGTGTTATTTGTATGTTATATTGCAAAGTTATATGCAAATGCTTAAGGCAAAACTGTGTCAATCTTAGTTTGACTAGGATTTATGCAAATTTTATGGTTTTAAGTCAAATTTGACTGTGTTGTGTTGTAGGATTATTGGATTTTTCGAAACTTTTCATATAATTTTTTTGGATTTATTTGATAAATTGGTAAATACATTTTTGTAAACTATAGTATTCAATTATAGTTTTTAAAGATAATCTTAAATAATTGCAATATTTATTCATTCTAGATTGTTGTTAATAACTTAAAAATGAGTTTAGTAGACTTAAATTCTGATGTGTTTTGGTCAGTGTACTACAGTAGAGCATCGATTATCCTACCCCCAATTAACCGTCACATCAGTTAACGGACCGTTCTAGTCGGCAAATTTCAAATGTCTGCTAGTGATGCAGCACTACAATATTTGCCTATGTCTTGGATACTTTAATATTATTTTTGTTAAATTTATGTATGTTTTAGATGGCAACATTGGCTCGACCATTGAAGGGAGGCCAGTATTTAAACGAGATTTAATTTTCTAATTATGAGTGATTGTTTGTTTTGTGAGCAATAAAATAATTTAAAAATAATTTTTAACGATACAATAATGACGATTATTATTTTAAAAAAATTTGTTAGGCTAAACATCGATGAAAATTCAATGCGAAGTTGGTTAATAGCGATATACTAACATACTAATTACATGGGATATCCTAATATACTATACGAATAATGTATTTTTTTCATTATTTTCAATTATCCGACCAAACTGAGTTCCGAATTGAGTCAAATAATCGATGCTCTACTGTACTTGCAAATTCTATCAGCTAATGGAAAATGAATATTTGGAATTTGAGTTGGAACATGATATTGATAATGCATTTAAATTTGTGGTGAAATTAGGATTTCAACAAACAGAATCAGTATGTAAATTGTGTGCTAATACATGTAAATTATACTATCAAAGTGACTGAAAATCTTATTTTTTAAGATGTAGTAAATGTGTAACTAAGTATTCAGCATTTGAAGGAACATTTAAGAGCAAATTTGGTAATATTTCTTGGGAGTGTCTTCTGTCATTTATTTGGCACTACCTTTATCTCGAATGTACTGCTAATAATGCTGCTTTTGCGGCAGGTATATCTAAAAAGGCAAGCATCGATTGGTCAAATCATATAAGATTAGTTATGCTTATATCATTGAATAATACGACTTCATTTAAAATAGGAGGTCCAAACAAGACTGTTGAAATAGATGAAAGTGTTATATGCAAACGAAAATATGAAAAAGGTCGTATATTGAAATCAACTAAATGGATTGTAGGAGGAATCTGTAAGGAGGATAAAAATTGCTTTATTTGTCATGTTAAAGATAGATCAGAAAATACTTTAAATTGGGTAGTGTATAAATATGTAAAATCTGGAAGTGTAATAATAACTGATGAATGGAGAAGTTATAATCATATAGACGATATCAAAGGATTAAATATTGAACATAAAACAGTGAATCATTCCAAAAATTTTGTGAACCCTAAAACAGGCGACAATATCCAAAATATCGAAAGGTTATGGGGATATTTAAAAAATAAAAAACACCTGCCAAAGCATTACACAAATGATCTATCTGATTCTTACTTGTATATGTTTATGTATAAAAAGTTTATGAATTGGCCAAACAGAAATCCAGAAGAAAGATTTCAAATTTTTGCAAAACATTTGTCTATGATATATCCTGGTACTGGAAAAACATCAAAATGGCTTGAACTTGAAACCGATCCGTCTGCACTAGTTTCAAATATAAATAAAAATAAAACTCAGAAATTGGAGAAGAAAAAGGAAAAGTTAACATCAAAAATGAATACAAAATCAAAGAAAAGTTTGTGTACAAGTTCAAAAGAATCGACAAGATCTGTGAAGAAAAGACCTACAACTAGTAAAGAAGAATATAACAATGTTGGAAAGATATGTAGGAAGGTTAAAAAACAGACGGATTAATGTGAGTAATATTTTGTTTAATTTAGTTTTGGAGTCATGTGAACTCCAATTAAATAACCGGTTACAGTGCAGACTCATTACTAAGTCAAAATGTAACGAAGTGACTGGAAGCGCCGCCATCTTGGAACCATAAGTAATATTAACCGATAATTTTCATAGTTGATAATGTTCTTATAAAATAATGAAAATCATTACTGAATAAAAATTTTAATTTGGTTTCTAGAATTAAACATTTTTTCTCATCTTTTTAAATATGGTGCCAAGTTCAAGTATTATTTTTATTGATGATATTTTTAATTGAAACTTAAACTTTTTTATTTAATTTTTTCTGATATGTTTCTAAAAAGAACCATACTATGAAATTTCACTAAAACATCAGTCATGATTATATATTTAATTAATTTATATAAGTTATAACTGGAATTAAATATATATATAAAAATACTGAATCTGCAACTCTGTCTAAAATGATAAAATTGAAGATTCTTTCACATTCATTTACAGGATAGGAATAGGTTCTTAGATAATACAATTTCTTAATTTTTTAATTGTTGATAGAACTATTTACAATTTTGTCAATATGATTTTAGCTTAACATGTTAAATAGTTTTTATAACTATTTATATGCTGGATGTTCAAAAAGTTTGCAGAAAAGATTTTTATTGCCTTTAGACATTACTCTCAAAATATTCATCTTCTGCAGCAACATATTTCATCTATAAGGACCTTGAATAAGTTCTCGCTGTTCTTTAACAGATGGCGTTACCAGAACCACGTGTGTTTATTTTTAGATGGTGACGCATCTGTAAGGAAGTACAATAAGCGACCTTGAAATTCAGTATATGTCATTTCACCAAAGTGTAAACATCTTATTTTTTCATTGTGTTAAACATGTCTAGTTTTGTGCCAAAAAAAGAGTATTTGCGGGGAATTTTATTGCACTATTTTATTCAAAAAAAATCTGCAGCTGAAGCACACAGAATTCTCATTGAGACTTACGGCGACCATGCTCTGTCGGAAACAACATGCAGAGATTGGTTTAGACGCTTCAAAAATAATGATTTTGATGTTGAAGATAAAGAACGATCTGGTGCACCAAAAAAGTTTGAAGACAAGGAATTAGAGGCATTACTTCATGAAGACTCATGTCAGACGCTAGCTGAACTTGCAGAATCATTAGGAGTTGATCACACAACAGTTTCGAAACGTTTAAAAGGATTAGGAATGATTCAAAAGCAAGGACATTGGGTGCCGTACGAGTTGAAGCCGAGAGATGTCGAACGGCGTCTTTTCACATGTGAACAGCTGCTTCAACGGCAGAAAAGGAAAGGTTTTCTGCATCGTATCGTGACGGGTGACGAAAAATGGATACACTACGATAACCCTAAGCGTAGAAAATCGTGGGGTAAGCCCGGTCATGCATCAACATCGTCAGCAAGGCCGAATATCCATGGTTCGAAGCTTCTGCTCTGCATTTGGTGGGATCAGCTAGGTGTAGTTTATTACGAGCTGCTCAAACCAAACGAAACTATCACGGGAGATCGCTATCGACTACAATTGATGCGTTTGAGCCAAGCATTGAAGGAAAAACGGCCGCTATATGAGCAGAGACACGACAAAGTGATTTTGCAACATGACAATGCTCGGCCACATGTTGCACAACCGGTGAAAACGTACTTGGAAACGCTTAAATGGGAAGTCCTACCCCACCCGCCGTATTCACCAGACATCGCCCCTTCGGATTATCACTTGTTCCGATCGATGGCACATGGCCTGGCTGAGCAGCACTTCCATTCTTATGAAGATGCCAAAAAATGGGTTGATTCTTGGATAGCCTCAAAAGACACGTCGTTTTTCCGACGTGGAATTCAAATGCTGCCAGAACGATGGGAGAAAGTAGTGGCTAGCGATGGACAATACTTTCAGTGACATGTTTATTACAACTTTTTTAAAATAAAGTGTTAATTTTCACAAAAGCAGCAAGAACTTATTCAAGCTCCTTATAGCAATCGTATAATTCTTTGAAAAGTTCTTAAATCCCTCATTTACAATCATCTGAAGTGCATTTTTTGCAGAGGCAATCACTTCTGTGTTGACAAATTTTCTGCCTTACACATGTGTTTTTATGTGGGAAAGAGGTAAACTCTAAGCTGCAGATAACAGTTCCAGAGTTTATTGAGGTGTCTTCTTCAAAAGGAAAATTTGATATTTGTCCTTTGTTCAACAGTGACATTTTCACATTAAACTGTACTCTAAAATCTTGCTTTTACCACATTGAGAAATGCATGTGTAGATATGTCACAAACTGACTGTGACATCACTTAATGTGCTGTGGCTCAGTATATAGTTGAAAAGTATTTTAAAAAAATTAGAGTCATTCTCACTCTACCTACATACATTACAGATGTTTTATGTGAACTTTTTGAATGTACTATGCATAATTTTTAGTACCTAGATGTCCTAGCCTTAGTTATAAATGCTTGAAGTTTGGCACTTATAGTTAAATGTTATTCAGAACTTTGTTCTTATAATAAAAATTATTCTCTAGTGATGCATATATGATGCATCATGTCTAAAAACGATATTAATGAAATAATTTTTATTCCTATTAAGAATTATAAATATCAAAATTGTCAAGAATGATATTTTCCTTATTTAAATTTTATGTAAATTTAAAATTAATATATATTTCATACTAAATCAAAAGATATAAAATTTGTTTTTTTTTTATTTTCTGTTTCTGCATATAATTTTTAACTTTTTACTTGCCTGCATCATTTCATCAATCTCTTCTAATACTTGTTCAGCAGTTAGAACAGGTTCTTGTTGAAGTCCTGAAATAATTAGAGAATGCACGTCTTCTTTATCCAGCTCATCATCAAATCTACCACCATCACAATCCTGAAAAATAATATATAAAAAGATATTAAGTGTTACGCATTTCAAAAAATGACAATATCATTAGTTAATATAATTTTAAGATGAGTTGATAAATATTTAATATAGATTAGTATGACAGAAAAAAATTACATTCTGAAAGTAATTAAAACTTCTAAACTTATATTCTACATTTTGGTAATTATACTGATTTAAATTTATTCTACTTTTTCATGCAGGGCTGCTCATAAAGAAGCAAATTCAATCTAATCAGATTCTCAGAAATTTTCATAGATCATTTAGATCTATGAAAGTTTCAGAGAATCTGTGGTGGATATGAATAAAAACTCTTAGTACTCATCAAGTTGAAAAGAGAAGAAAATTTACTTGTTTTAGCTAACAAAATAGAATATAATTAATAACTTAGAAATTTTCTTTTTATTTAAATAAAATTTGTTGAATAATTCATTTTATATAATTAATTTTTCATCATCATTATTAGATCTAAAATAAGTATTATTAAAAACTGACTTTTACTTCAATAGAATCATCATACTATTATTATTTAGTCACTGAAAAACAAATCTGTAATTCAAATTCATAACATTAATTCAAGTGATTTTCATTATTATATTATAAAATGACAAAGATAATGAAGATTACAGTAATTATGATGATAATATGCATAATGGAGTCACTAGATGTGTGGAGGTATAAACTGCACTGGGTGACACTGTCAGAGGGGAATGACACCAAAATGAATATAAAATTTTTGTGCAGTTTTTCATTTAAAATTGATAATTGTCATTACTTTTTTAAATAATAGCCCTGTAATTAGTTATAACAACCAAAACATTTTTTGTAGTTGTAAGCCCAACTTGCATGTATCAATATACAGTAGAGCATCGATTGTCCAAAACAATTTGGGACTGGAGTTGTTTGGATAACTGATCATTTACAGAAATATATATTAAACACAAGACTGTAATGTATATATTTTGTATACCTTACATAAAATAGTACATTAAAGTAGGCCTACAGTTTAGGTTGGCAGGAAGGAGGATCAGTGCTGCAGCACCACAGCACAAGCGGAAATTTGAATTTGCCAACTGGAACACTTTCAGTTAATCAGTATTCAGATAATTGATGCTCTACTGTACAGTACCTACAATGCTAAAACTCTACTAATTTACTTTTTGAACCTTCTAATGCATTCTAGTCAGAGCTGTCATTATTCCAAATTACAAGAAAAAATACAAAACATTTTATAAATATAATACAATTACAAAAAAAAACAATAAATAAATAAGTGTAAATACATGTAGGTGTGCATATGATATTGTAATCTAAAGGTGTAATTTTAATCTTGTTATTTGTTTATGTTGTTACCACTACATTCAGTAATATGCAAGAATTATGATTTATAAGTAACATTAGTATTTAGAAAAGACATTACTAAGGATTGTGCATGGTCTCTTACAAAAATTGATCCATAAGGGTGATACCATGAGTTACCACACTAGACAACACCAATTCTAGTAATGCAACTTAATAATTCAATAACAATGACACATTTAAATACAATGAAAATTAATCACATTAAAATATATAATTTTATTTTGTTGCTTAAAAACATTGTTCATCTTTTCTACTAAAATATATTTTTAAAAATCATATGTTTTGTCATAAACTTAAGAAAAAATAATACAAATATATTAATTTAAAGAAGATTTGAAACTGTAAGACTTAATTTCAGTAAATAGATAGGGCTAAAAATATGTTCAGGTATCAAATTAAAGCTCTTACTCTGTAGATGATGCAACCGAAGAGATTTGAAAGGTGCAATGGTTCAGGCATGGTAGAGTGGCAAAGAAACAATATCAAATCTATGGAACAAACATGTTGAGTGCTCACATGTCATCTAGCAATTTATTTTACTCTTTTTAACTGTTAGAACGACCTGTTACTCCCCCTAATCTGAATTCTTGCTTTTTTTATTTATTTATTTTGCTAACTGTATGTTAATTAAAAGACTTCTTGCATTATTTTTTAATAATAATAAATTTAAACACTTACACTATGTATTTAAATAATAAAATAAAATTAAGAATCACTTTTATTTTTTGAACTAAACTATTTTAATTTTTAGAATCCATATTAAAAAAAAGTATATATTAGTAAAATAAATGCATATAATTTTCAACGCTAAAAAAAGACAATAGAAGTTTTTTTGTAATAAATTAGTTTTGTCGGTATTGACCACAGCACTATCTACCAACTTTTAGTGTCAATCTCTGTTTTTATTTTAACATTACCCTATGATGAGAACAAAAAGGGATTCTAACCATCAAATTCATTACTTAGAGCTAATTAATGGACTTCTCAACAAACCTACCAATAAAAATAAAAGTAAACTTAAACATCTAACTGCTGGTAGGTCTAAGAGTTTTATTTGCAAAGCCCAACAAAGTAATTGTCATGAAGCAGGCCACAACTAACATCAATGTTAATCTGAAGCCCTGTTAGTTGAAGTTGGTTGGCTTTAAAAATGTTAAACTGCCACCCTGGAATATGGATGCAAAATTGAAAGAAGCTATTGAGAGATAGGAGTAATGGGAAGAGCCCATGATATCAGAGAACAGTTAGACATGAATCACATGCAGATGGATCTGGAAAACATTTGCTATACTGATGATTTTTGTGCAGAATGCCAAATCTTAAATGAGCTCATTAATTGTATTTTAGTTTTAAAGAAAACCATCAATTTCAACGGGTTTCTGCTGGTATTTTTTGAATTAAAACTTTTTTACTACAAAATAATGCTTTCGGATGTAATATCCCATGCAACTCCACTTTTTTTTTTTAGAACAAGCAACTTGCAGTTAAGTTAAATAAATACTATAATAGTTTTAAAAAAATTCATACAAACCCTTTTTTGATTTAAATTCAATGAAGGCATATGTAATCTGGCACATGATTTTGACCAATCAATTGGAAGAATATTTCCAAAATTTCCAGTTAGAGTCCACCACATTCTATTAAAAATACACAATAATTTAAATTTAAGCTAATTTTTGGCAATATCAAGATATCAATTGTATATAAAACAAAAATAAAATATATAATAAATAACTATTAATTAGTTTACAATAATAAATGAAATGAAGGGAAAAGATTATATACAGTACAATTGTACTAATTCAAACCCTTAGTTATCTGAACCCCTTGTAATCTAAACAATTTTTACCATTCCTCTAACTAAAATAATGGACTTGTCAACTGTATACTTGCACTTGCAGCTCACATGTAAAGTAAACAAAAGTCACATATGCATTGTTGCTCATTCTTTCTGTGATCCTGTTTGACTTAACAACAATTCTAACCTTTATTTGCAGCTGTAAAATATTTTACAACAGTAAAAAATGACCTCAAAGTGTAATCATATCCTGGTAATTCAAACAATCATTGATTTCAATTAGTTCAGATTAGCACAACCACACACACACACACATATACTGTATATGTATATTGAATTCTTTGAGATGCACTCCTTAGAATGATTCCATTTGTGATGAAACTAACATGTATCAAAATTCAGCCCAAAGAGATGCATGTAAGTGGTGCCCCAAATATTTTGAAGTTTTAAAAATTATATGCCCTTTATTTTATATATATAATTATATGCTTTGTCATTTTCAGAGCAAAACCTAACACTTACATTGCTGTACATAACCCAAAGCAGTCTTTCCATTATGTGCAAGTAAGATGGCACAATTTTGTCTTCAAATTTAAAATAGTAATACTAATAACGTGAATAATCTTACAAAAATAAAACTGTTTTCATTAAAAGCACTGAAATCCATTAATATATTGTTCATTACATTACTGTAATATCTAAGTATATGTAGAATTCTGCAGTGTCTCTTTCTTACTATCTGGTACTTTGAACAGTATTCATATACTACTTGTAACAGAAACTATTTTTGTCCTTCATCCTTGGTCAAGATATTATTGTATTCCTGTATTAATTTCCCATCATGCTCTGCCACATCATTTGTTATTAGAAAAGTCAAGAAGATATGGAAAGTTAGTTATGTCTGTCTGTTTCCCACTTATCAGGATCCAAGTTCAAAAATTGAGCTGAAACTTCAGATCTTGAAAAGAAATTCATGATTTCAGAGGTAACAAATTGACTTATATCTTGTGACAATATATTCTTCACATTCTTCTCATTTATGATATATCTTGTGTTATTACTGTTCTCTGTATAACCAGCATATCTCATAGTTTCAACCATTTTCAGTTTTGTTTCCTTGGGCACCTGTGCATTAAACAAAGAAACAACTATTATCTGAAGAGCCAAATACCACAAATGACCACAACACTTGTATAAAGTCACCTGGAAAACTTGAATGTCTGGATATTCTGCCAATGCTTTAAGGAAAAAAAAACATTAAATATGCTTCTACAGCATTTGGACACATGAACCAAGCTTCAATATAGTTTACAATAAACAGGCAGAAATCTCCAAGTGTTCATTCTTCTGCATATTCCAGATAAAAATATTCTTGTTTCAGAAAGAGTTCTAAGTTATATATTGCATTTTGACATCCACCAGGCATGATGGAAAGCACCTGGGTAGCAGAAAGAAGTTTCACAAGGTGAATTCCTCCTCAGAAAAATTACAGTGAACTCAAGGAATTCCTTGTAGTCATTTCTATACTTTCTTTGTTGCAAAGAACTCAAACAGTACTGCAATACTTGGTCATGAGTGTAATGAACAGATTGTTCTACAACTTCATCTGCAACTCCAGTCTGAAATTTTATGTCTATAGTTGGCCATTGATCTCTGGACTGCTTGAAGAGTTGCACATTTGGATTAAATGTTGGTGATGCAAATTTTACATGAAACACAGTTCCTAGTTCTATACCCAATATGTGCCATTGGCAAGGGAAATGGAGCAAGTCTTATATTAAGGAAATGCTCTAATAAAACACAAGCTCCTTTCAGGTATCCAATGTTTGAACGAGTAGTGTTACCACAAAAAGCCTTAATTTTCTCTGTAATTCCACATTCTTCAAGTACATTATGTGCTGCTTTTGCTTGATTCTTCCCAGTTCCATCTTCAAGTTTAAGAACACTAACAGTTGCATGCTCCCTTCAAACAATACTACAACTGGTAACCTCTCAATTGCTCCAAGTTGGCAACACTATTCCCCCTCAGACACAATGGTATTTCAGTTTCCAGAGGATTAAGTTTTTTCATCCTTACTTCAATGTTATGTAATACTATTTCTGGAAATACCCTGCACATGCAACCCACATTGCTCTGTCTGGAAAAAAGTATCCCATGCACCAAATATTTTGTCACTTGGAGCATCATCTATTATTATTCTATTCAGATAAAATTTTGGGAACATGACTTTTATGTGACTTAAAACAATTCTGAGGGGTGCATCCAAAAAATTCTAAAATTAATTTTCTCCATGTTAATAAGAGAGAGTAATAATATATATAATTAATATATATATATATAAACACACATACCAGATGATAAGAAATAAAGTACTCCTATTCAATGCTGTCTAGAGAGATATTTAGCAGTCCAAATGCAACCAAATCTAGTAACATTTCAACATATGCAGAAAACATTTCCATAATAAAATTAGTACCAAAACTCACCACTTCTTGGAGTATTACAAATTCTGTAATACTGCAAGAAGAAAAAAAGTACATAGCATATGTATAATGNATATAAACACACATACCAGATGATAAGAAATAAAGTACTCCTATTCAATGCTGTCTAGAGAGATATTTATCAGTCCAAATGCAACCAAATCTAGTAACATTTCAACATATGCAGAAAACATTTCCATAATAAAATTAGTACCAAAACTCACCACTTCTTGGAGTATTACAAATTCTGTAATACTGCAAGAAGAAAAAAAGTACATAGCATATGTATAATGCACATATGCTATTGTGAGAATTTGAGCTCTTTTGTGAATTTTGGAGCTTTGATAAATTTTTCTCATCATTATTTCCCCTTTTCCTTCAATTTTTATGTCACTTCGAGAAGTGACCTTTTAAACTTTTCTAATGAGAGAAGAAAAACACAACCCACACACTTCCCACTTCGTCCAATTTTAACAATGATAAAACCGATCAAATGACGCACCAAATGAACAATTATTACTAAGGTGCAAGACTAACTCTGACCTTAGTCACCTCTAGCAATTAATTCCGTTAGTTTGACAGCTGTTATCAAATTTATGAGATGGAAGAAGTGACAATACAGATAAAAGAGGTAATAAATCTATAGAAAGGTTTCGAGTTGTGACAAGTAACATAAACATATCCAGGACGCAAGTCAACTTTAGATGAGGTTGTATCAGATTTTGTATTAGTCAGTCCCACCAGGACTTGTATAAAAAGGGCTTGGACACAGTCCTCTGGGCGTACATCAGGGGACACCAGACCCATACCGCCATTCCATCTGTCATAACCCTTGCCTTCCCGCCATAATCACTGTCTGTCATTCAATGAGCCTGACCCGAGGAGAAGGAAGACTATGATTAAAGTCAGCCTATCCGGGGACAGTTTGCTGAATCCCATACAGCGAAATTGGGGACAAAGAGGTAATGCTTGGAAAAATTCTTAACTCTCTCTCTCAGTTATAGCTTAGGCTAGTTGAACTTAAAAGATCCTGAGACCTATAGAGGCCAGACTTTAGACAACTTATCGATGACTGAAGATCTTGTTGCAATATAGAAATAGTTTTGGATTATCCCTTTTTGTAGCTTTTGATTTGTACTTGTTTGTATAGCTTTAGATAATTAAATATGTTATTCTTATATATATAATTATGTGTCATCCTAGAGTATGACCGACATCTTGTCACGACCTCATGATCCTCCCCACTCATTGTTTTTTTTTTTTTGCCCTCTGAAAGCCATCCTCTGACAGAGCTGCCGGTAAGTGGGGACAACTAACCCCCTCAGTTCTACACTATAATTAATTTCTGGTTATAAAACTACCTATAATAAGTGAGATACCATTCATATTACTGAACATCAGCAGCAATGGTCATAACTATGCCTTGAATGGGCCCATCTTGCAAATGAAAGCAATTCAATGTTGCAAGTGCACTTCAAGAGTTATGATACCTTAAGAAATTATGCAAAGATGTTTTACTGCTCAAATCATCATATCTTGCATTAATAAGTTTTTGGACAAAATTTTTTCCTGTGGAAATCTCTTCCACATGTTCAGAAATATCAGCATATAAAATTTGGTTGAGTTTGGACTGTTACATATCCACACTGTCTAAATGCTGTCTCCAGACATCATTGAACCAGGCTTTATAGCTTATGCTCACCCTATACACACACATATACACACTTTTGTATACTGCATGCATGCAGATATGTACTGTATTTGTGCTAGGAGTTCTGTCACTTTGAAATGATCTTTGCATTTTTTGTTATTTATAATTTTATATAATTCTTTATAATAATATTAGATTTATATAATGACAAATTTTTAAATCTATATATAAAAAATTTCTTTTACTATAAATTATTTTTATAGAACAGAAAATATAATATAAAGCCAGTCAATAATAATGTTCTAAAACACACAAGTGGCACTCAAGAAATCAATTGGCCTTGGAACAAAATACTGAAACTTAATTTTGACAACTCATAAAACATATTTTACATTTTTGAGATTTTGAAATTTTATAGTAATGCACTTGATGTACAGTACAGTAATATTAATCAAAGATTTTTAATGATTTAAATACTGTATCATACTTATCTGATCTTTTAAGCTATTATTTCACATTTAAATGAATAAATTGCAATTAAAATTATAATTTGTAATTCCACATTCTTCAAGTACATTATGTGCTGCTTTTGCTTGATTCTTCCCAGTTCCATCTTCAAGTTTAAGAACACCAACAGTTGCATGCTCCCTTCAAACAATACTACAACTGGTAACCTCTCAATTGCTCCAAGTTGGCAACACTAT